CAATTATTCCAGTCCCATTTGATTTGATTAGAGTGGATATCAAGGCAGGCTAAAGCACTCTAGCTTCTCTCAGACTCTATTTGGAGAGACGATTCAGCAGTCATCCCTTTAAACTCATGAGTACCTGTTTATGCAAAATGGAAATAGGTTTTCACAAACTGGCAGCAAGAACAACACCAACAGCAGCAAAACCTTCAAAATCTCAGCCTGAACCTGTTCTTTGAAACAAACTGTGCACCCGTAAAAGCTAATAACTTTAATACATAAATATTTTTTGAGGTTTATTACAACATGAATAAGTAAGCCATTCCAGTGGAGATGGATGAATGACTGCATCCACATTATGGCCCCTATCCCGATCGAGTCACAGGCAATTGGTTGCATATGACAACTGCTGGATCTTGCACGGGAATGGGATTCTTCATGCACAACAAAAGATGTGTCAAGCTTATTCAGTGGGATCTGGATAAGCTTAATTATGAGGATGGGGATGCACATTCAAATGTACTTCTTCCCTGGCTGCGGCTGCAGAAAGTTTCATCAGCATGTGAGTATCTTGTAGAGACTGGCAAGCATGCTATGTCTGAGCTCACTGAGCTGCTCCCAGTTCTTGTGCAAGACTTGTGCTGGTTCATTTTCATTTCCAAACATGTCTGTGTGCATTTTCCACAATTGGGAAAAATACATTTTTTTCCATATGCCCATTGTCTCCAATAAAAACTTTGCATTTTCATCCATAGACTACAGCATGAAAATGCACAGTTGAGAGGGAAATGTGCTTTGGGAAAAGTCTGCAATATTGCAAACATTTCCTGGAAAATGCACTTGTATTCATGTTCAGGATTCCAGCGGGGATGTGTTTGCATGATCTGAGACAGGAAAAACATTCTAACACATCTCCAGTGTCCTTACTAAATTGGGGCACTGAACTATTTATTTATTTAGAGAGCCAGTGTGGTGTAGTGGTTAAGAGCATGGGACTGGGACTCAGACGATCTGGATTCTAGTCCCCGCTCAGCCATGGAGCCAACTGGGTGACTTTGGGCCAGTCACAGACTCTCAGCCCAACCTACCTCACAGGGTTGTTGTTGTGGGGATAAGATGGAGGAGGAGATGCAAACTGCCTTGATCCCTTTGTAGGAAAAAGGCAGGATATAAATAAATAAAATTTAGCCTCATCTCCATGGTACTTTATGGGGTAAAGATCCTGGTCCTGAGAAGAGCATATCCTAACCTTTCACATGAGAGAAACAAGAAGAAGGGGACAGAAGTGGTAACATGGGAAAAGTGTAAGATTTTTTCTGCTGCACATGTTTGACTTGATAATCTAAGACATAATCCTGTGTAAGTTTAGACAGAAAAAAGCCAGTAATATTGTCTGGGGCAGATCGGAGTTGTAGGCCTTCTTTTGGTCTAAACCTGCACAGAATTGCATCCTTAGTCAACCTTCGCATCAGTGCCTCATCTTCACTTCTCCTGTAGTAATTTTTAGTAGTTGTCATTATTTGGACAGCTGGATGAAGTGATTTAGTGACTTCTCTCTGCCCCTTTCTCCCTGTATACACTATACATACTCCCTCTCTTTTCTCTCTCATCTGTGCAAACTCATGGCTTTTAGTAGTCAAATATATGTGGAAAACTGAGAATAGATAGTAACACCACATACATGTCATACAAAGGTCTTCTCCACAGCATTTAACTTCTGCTTCTATAACATAAGATAGCTGGTCAGCACTTTACTCTTCTGGATGTAGGATTTAACAGTTTTTCAGGGCTAATATGGCTTCTGCCTTCTGAAGTACTAGATGGTCATATGTACCCTCAGGGGTGCAGTTCCTTGGTGACTGAAAGTTTTTTGTTGTGAGTACCTTCACACCAATGGAAATTACAGTGTGGGGTGAAAAGAATAGAAGTAAAGCCATGTTGGATCAGACCACCAATACGTCTAGTCCTCATTCTGTTCACACAGTGGCAAGCCAGCTATCCATGGGAAACCCACAACCCAGCCATGAGTATGCACAGCACCTCTCAGCCCTGGCAGATGCAAGTTGTCACTCAGAGGTAGTTTCCATATGTTTCTCTTATGTGTGAACCAGACCCAAGGTAGGTAAAGGAAGTTAAGGCAAGATGAATCAAGAGATGGCACCTTTCTCCATCGGGACTAGAAGTAAGTTGCATTTGACCCTTCTGCTGAACATAGGAGATAAACAGGAGGATGACTGGGGAAATGATTTAGGGAGTACAGATAACTGGGGAAAAGGAAGGAAGTTGTCCAATCTGAAATATAGTTAAGAAAAGGAATATAGCAGAGGCAAGCAAAATGTACAGCTTTATAGAGAAAGTGGGGAATCAAAGAGAGCTGGAACTCTGAATTAGTGAAGCTAGAAAGCCAAGTCTGGCTGAGAATACTAGAAAGCTCCATTGACCCAAAAGAATTCAGAAGCCAGTCCTCTGATAGTTGGCAGTCTGGAAGGCTAGTTTCCTACGGGGCTGAATGCACAGGCCTTTTACATTTCACATCCAAATGTGGCTCACACAGCTGAATCTCCTCCAGAGAACTGGAAGACACCTGTTCTGCTCCTGAATTTCTTTGATGAAGTGTGAAAAAATGATGCACTGCTTTGTTTAGTTTGTTGCTCAAACCTAGGACAAGTACTGTTTATTGTGAGAAATTTGTTCATGGTTACTGTTTGAATAACTGAATTGATAAAAAGATTTGTTTTAAGTGTATGAGTTGCACTGAATAAATGGAGCAAGGCCTGGCAAATAGATGGGAAAGATGGGTTGCTTCATTTTGTGCTTCCCGTGTGTTTTCCTGCTTATAGGGAAACCTTAAATTGCAATATGAGACCAAGGTATTTGGGTAGAAGATGGCACCCTGTTTTTAAACTCTAGTGTGGCTTTGGAGGATATTGCTATGCTATGCTGGATTAAACAGTTCATTCAGGGCTAATATGGCTTTTACCCCGTGACTTCCCCCAGATGTACTAGACTGTCATATGTACCCTCTTGGGTAAAACATGGCTAAGAGCCAATTACTTCAACTTAAATGTTTCATCTGAATGTGCCGTTGAGGGATTGTTGGCAATTCATTTTAATTCACCATGCTTTGGATTAAAAGGTGGAAAATAGATTGGCAGTACTTTAAAATTCTTGACAAAGAAAAGGCGATGTTTTAATACTGCGCTTACATTGCACTTGGTTCAACATACAGAGAAGTTTGAGCTGTCATGAGTTACTGACAATCCAAAGCCAATTTCTACTCATAAAATGTCAAATTATGAAAGGAGAGAGTGTGTAAGATTTTTCATATTTTATGCAGCAGCAGGAAAGGAACTGGTGTTTCTTATGTTAAGCACTAGAGTAAAGGGGAGGCATGTATTCCTTAAACCTTCAGAGATGCCCAACTGCTATTGTAACCATTATTTTTGTTACTACATGCAAATATATACAACGAGGACAATAAAAAAAGGAATAACAGATAATTAATCCTATTTTGCTCACTGGTGTAATGAGATATGGAGCAGGAAGTCTCTCTTTGCTCCCTCTTTGAATCTCTTTGCTGTGAATTCACAAATGGTGCAATCCAATGCTGCCCCACTCAGCACAAGCAAGCCCCTGAACTCAGAGGCTTCCAGGCACCCAGCACATAGCAGAGGACAAAGCAGTGACAGCCTTTGCTGCTGCACCTTGTGCCCTGCGTTTCATCTAGATGGCAATTTTCATCCATCTCAAAAAAGCACCTGAGAGGGAGAGAGAAGGTGGGTGGGACATTATGTGGAAGCATCCAAATGAGCCCCAGTGTCCTCCCCTCCCTTGGCATTCCCCTGTTCCTTCTCTCTAAGACTGACTTTCAACCTTGGAGAGGCATCCAGTGCTGTTTTCCACCCACTCTGCAAAGAGGGCAGGGAAGGGTCTTGGTGTTCCAGGTCCAGCATCAAGATTGCAGGACCTTGGAGTTTAGACACTGAATTATCCTGTGGCCTCCAGATGATGTCAGGACCCATATGCCCTTAGAGGCCTTAGGCAATCTCCCTCACTTCTGTGATGCAGGGGATAATATGCTGAGTAGTCCTTATCCTTTAGTAAACGGATTTATTTATATTGCGATTTATATCCTGCCTTTTTCCTACAAAGGGCTCAAGGCAGCTTACATCATTCTCCTCCTCCATCTTATCCCCACAACAACAACCCTGTGAGGTAGGCTGGGCTGAGAGCCTGTGACTGGCCCAAAGTCACCCAGTTGGCTCCATGGCCGAGCGGGGACTCAAACCCGGATCGTCCGAGTCCCAGTCCCAAGCTCTAAACCACCACACCACACTGGCTCTTTACAGCTGGATATTGCATATGAAACACTCTGAACACTTTAACAGTGGAACCCTATATGTCCTCATACAGTTTTTGTTATTGTTATTTTCATCAATATCATCAGTGTAATTTTTGCACGTATGAAGCATCTATATTTTAAAGTGTGGTACAGAACTTGAAAGATAACATAATTTTGATTTTGGTTACTATTACATCCATAGTAAAGTGGTAGATTAAAAGTCTCACCTAGAAAAGGCCTGCATCTGGTCACGGATAGAATGAAAGAGAAGTTGTCATTCAAGTATAATGAAACAAAAATTAGTATAATTAACTACTCTTGCCTAATTTGTTGACCATCAGAATACCTCAATATATGTACATGACCATATAACACTAGTGCAAAATTACATTTGTGTTATTTGATTATTTGGCAATGTACATGAGGCAAATAGATTATTTTATGCTATTCCATTAAAGATTCTTGGTTCTTGTTTAATTTGGTTACATTTCCCAATACCTAAATATAACCTAAACAGAATTATAAATATAATTCTAAAAAGGATGGGTTAGTAAATGCATAAAGATGCTTTTACACATTTTGATGTTTTAGATGACTGATGACATTGAATGCATCTCAAGAGAACTTATTTAGAAATGGGCTTTCTCTTTCTTTTCCCCATGTAATTTTATAGGTTCATCACACCAGACTCAGTTTCTTTATAAATGGTTTGGAAGATGATAACACAGCTTTTGATTCCAGAAGTTTCACTGGGTTAATTGCAGATCCATTTGTTGATGGTGAATGGCAAATTGGGCAAAATTTAAATGGTAAGTTAGTGTATGAAGCAAGGATAAATTAGATAGCTAACAAGAAACATTGTATAGGGTTGCTAAATCGTATTGGGTTGCTAAATTCAACTAGCACTTTCTAGTTGTTCTTTCATATTCCACTACACCTTTTTCTCTATGTGTATATATTCTGTATTTATCTTATTTATACAAGATTAATATAAAATTTCTTCAGTTTTATAGATGCTTGCACAAAAATTGCAAACATGTTTCCTTTTAAATAAACTTATTCCCACATTTATGTTCTGGATGCAAAATGGTAGTGCAGGACAAGTTTGCAGGCAGAGAAGAAATGGCAGAGTGGTATTTCCTGTGCTTGAGCAACCCTACAGAGGAGCCAGGTCAAGGTTAGCTCCTTTGGGGGATCAGGTAGAACCTTTCTGAACTTTTATGCTACTTCATTCCTGTTGAGCTGATATCTGCAATACCAACTCCTGGCTATTGGGAGTGGTGGTTGTGAAATGTAATTCAGGGCAGACCGGCATCTCTTTCCTTTTAGAAGCTACTTCAGTAACAAGCTGCTTCAGTAACTTGATCTTATTTCTAAAGTTTTCCATCTGGAGTCTCTTACACCTTACAGCGTTTTAAAGGAGAGGGACAGATTGTGTTCCGGTTCCAGCTTTATTGCAACAGAATCATAAGGTCAACTTCACTCTCACACCTTTCACACCATTCATTCAAAATGCATATTTTCTGTTTATAATCATCACTTTAATATTGTAATTGACTACAAGTGCTTTTCATTTTTTCTTTTATGCCAATCAGACACATGCATATGTAGCTAAATGGCTCATCTTTTCACTAGGAAAAAGTAGTTCAATAAAATGGATGTGAGTAGCTGTATTTTAGCTGTGACCTTGTGCATAGTTTGGCACATACATAAAGCTACTGATTTAAGGCAATTTGTGCACAAGCAACTTTGCGTAGGTTAAAACACCATGGTGTTTTTGAGTGTACAGTTTGCTCCAGACTAGCAATGGCCTATCTGCATAGGTGGCTCAGATGTAAGATCATTACTTAAGACCACATCATTGTTAATTTTGGAGGTTATGGAGAAGGATGTGAAAAACTGGCATTTCAGAACCAGTTTCAACAAAGTAGGATGTGCTTCTTCTTGTCCTTTCAGCTACTACTAATTGTACAGAAGACCCACCATGGTTAGAACAGAGGATAATGTGAGGACAAGCTTTATTTTTATTTTTCATTTAATGTATTTCTTAGCTGCATTTCAAGACCCATAGTCTTGAAGTTTTTTTTCTGAAGGTGGTTAGAGAAGAAAACCAAGGTCATTGCACTCTTATTGTCTCATATTTTCATTTAACCCAGATTGTATTCCAAACTTGATAGAGCACCAGTACTTAATCACAAGAAGCAAACAAAATGTTGTAGCAGGTCTGATGCTGCACATACTTGTAAGGTTGGGTCACATTAAAGTCTACATCAAGGGCAGGAAACTTTTGGTCTTGCAGCTCCCCTCATTCCTCATCTTGGTTATGCTGGATAAGGTTGTGGGCATTGTAGACCAGGATATCTGCAGGGCCACAAGTTGTTCATTCCAGCCTAGACCTTCTTTTTAAAGGTATCTTGAACATGCAATTAAAAAAAAAGTCTCTGCAGTAGATGTTCTTGTGGCAATTAAGAAGATTAATTTAAAAACTACTTTGGAAAATGTTTCATTTAGTGACCTAAGGAAAAGAACTAAAGAAGGAATTATCACCATAGAAATACCAATGTGTTGTAATGGTCCTGGCTGAATATTTGGTGATGCGGAGATAAAATAATTTTTCACCATGTTCTGAACATTGCCGTCAATATAAGGTTCCAGTGATTTTGCAGCTCCCTGAAATTCTGTTTTGTGATAAATTGGTTCTGCAGATTTATTAAGGCTGAGTATCACTGATCCAGAACATACTGCAATTTGGAGCGAAGTCCTAAATATATCTGCATCTGGCTTGAAGAAAGTTTGATTTATTCCAATGGAACCATCAAACTTCTGTTCATCAACACTTGAAAATTCTCATTTCACTTCTTGTTGATATTGTCATTTTGAATACTAGACACAGAATAATTGTGTAAAAGGATAAGGCATCTAAAAACACACCTTTCATCTTTATCACATAACGTGACAGCTACAGTTGTCCCTACTGTATCTCTTCTCTAATTAGAGGTGGCACATGGACTGGCTCATTACTTCTGTCTAATGAGCCAGTCTGTGTGCCACCTCTGTAATCAGATAAGGGATAGGTACAAAATGTTCCTATAAAGTTATTATAAATCATTTTAATCAAAAAAATTAAGTCACTGCCCTCCATAGTTTTGTCCGGAACCAAGATGGTTTCATTCAGAAGAGGTAATTGTGCAAGAGAGATCTCTGTGTGCTGAATTTAAGATCCCCTCATGCAGCACAGAGCTGTTTTCTGCTTGATGGAATTGGATTATTTATTTATAATGTATTTTTTCAGGTTCAGAGCAATTTGTTGGAAGGATGCAAGATTTCAGATTGTACCAAGTGGCGCTTACAAACAGGTAGGAAAATTTTCATTCTTACACAACTTGGAAATGCAGTGACCAAGGGAAAACAGTTGCAGCAATGACAAGTTTGTTTCAGATGTGGACAGGTCATTCCACAGATTTCTTGAAAAGACAGTGAGATTTGGAAATGTACCTCTGTGTACATGAATTCAAGGTAACTTTTCATTAACTCAGGAGATTGTATTAAAACATTAAGGGCTTGATCTAGCTGACCTCTGGCGAAATGTCCATGCATAATTGGGATCTTCCTAAAGCAATCTTTCCAAACCTCAGGTCTACCAGATTATAAATCCTATCATGCCCAATAATCAGGGACTATTGTAATTACAGTCTAAAATATCTAGAGAGCACCAGGCCAAGGAAAGTTGCTCTGAAATATACAGAACCCTGATTCCTCCTGCAATTCACAAAGAGGAACCACCAACCATAATAGAGAATGGGATGCCCCCATCCATGCCTTTCATAGCAATGGCCAGTCCTACCCACACAGACACATACATACACAATTTATTTATGCTGGGCCGGATCCTGGATATGCCTTCTATTGGTGGAATGGCTCCACTCATCGAAGGCACATTCACCCTCCATTGCAGGTCCTAAATCTAGATCAATCCCACCATCTGTCATCAGATAGAGACCTTCTCCTTACGCTGTTTTACTTTAGCTGTCCTACAAGCACATCCATGATCAGTGGATCAATGGGTTTTCTTAATTATTTAATATTTTCCCACTATTGTGTGTGTTGTTCTTTGTTATTTCCTGTATTATGATTTCAAAAAAGAAATACATAGGGTAATGATTAATAGCAACATAGGAAATGACTGATAACCCTACATCAGCCAGAGGGGTATTGGCCGAGTGGGTATGCAGTATGGCTAATACTTCCTTTAGTCGAGGCAAGTTCCCAGATCAAGGAGGCAATGGTGAGACCATGCTGAAAGAGCCCTTCCTGAATCCAACTATTTTGGATAATTGACGACCCTCCAGTATTCCATTTTTGGGCAAGGTTTTAGAGCATGTTGAAGACTCCCAGCTTCAGGAGCTGGATGAGATGGAATATCTAGATGCATTTCAATCTGGCTTCAGATTTGCTTATGGGATGGAACCAGCTTTGGTCAACTTGGTTGATGGTAGATGACATGCTGGGAAATAAACAAGAGGAGTGCTCCTGTTGCTTCTGCTGGATCTCTCAGAAGCTTTTGGCCATGGTATTCTTCTGGCTGCCTCATTTGTATGGGGACTGGATGCATTGGCATCCAATTTATTTATTATTAATTTATTCAATTTGTATGCCACCCACTATCCATAGGCTTCCTGGGTGGCTCACAATGGCTCTTCTCCTTCCTGGATGAGTGGACACAGGATATGGTTAAAATAGTGCTCTGGCTGTGCTTGTTCCTAGATTTGTCACAATAGCTTGTGCCTTAGATAGATCCCATTTGGTTTAATGACATGCACTTTATGAGGGATTGCCCCGGAAGAGTGTTTGGCCCCAGTTGGTTCAGAGAGCTATTGCCAGACTGTATTACTCTCAGTCTTCTGTTAAGGCTATCTGAAAACCAGCCTTCCCCCTTATGAGCCTGCCTGTCCCCCAAGGTCTCCTACAGGAGCCCTTCTCTTAGTCTTACCACTTTCACAAGCATACTTGATGGAAATATGGGAGAGAGCACTCTTGGTGGCTGTCCCAAGGCATTCAAGGCATTCCCTCCCCAGGAAGGCTAGATTGGTGATCTCCCTGTTGTGCTTTTGGAGAAAGGCAAAAAACCTTTCTGTTCTGGCAGGCCTTTAAGAATTGTCTGGACCTGTGAGATGGTATTAGGTTAGTTTTATTCTATATATTTTTAGCAATCTATCCTCTAGATTTTATATAATTTTAATATTCTACTAATTTAATTCTATTTTAATGTTTGTATATTTCTTCTATTTCTGTTTTAATTGTACAAATTTTTGATGTTGTACACTACCTTGAGTCACAGTACTGTGAAGCAGATATTCTAAAATGTTTAAAAGGGGTTTGTCTCTTGTGTCCAATCTCCTGATGAACATTGGTGGCAGACCTTTTAGCAGGACATTTATGGCTGATCCAGTTATACCTGAATGTTTACATATGATGCTGCCTTTGGTGGTGTCCCCAGTTGATTTTTTTTTTTTTTTACTTCTTTCTGCGATTCTAGAGACATTTTTGAAATATATTCTGGAAAATTTCCTCAGCTCCACACTCTGCCAGAATGTCGCTGTCCTGGAAGTCACCCAAGGGCACACCCTTTGGTTCAGAGGTACTGCATCCCTAACGGTGCTGATGACACAACCAACGACAGAGTGCTCAGGCTAAACCCTGAATCTCACCCTTTGAGCTACATCAATGATAATGATATTGGGACTTCATGGATTTCATCTGTATTTCAGACCATTGAAAAACTCAATCATGGAGTATCCATCAGAATAGATTTAGAAAATGGACAATATCAGGTAATTTTAAAGTTCACCTTTCCAATATGCTATTGATTGATTAGGTGATTTGGCTTGCTTTTGTTGGTTCAGCAAAAGTACAAGCAAATTTCAAGTGAACCAGAGTGAATTTTCAGTGATATTTCAACTTCATATTTAGTGGTATTGGCTGGCTGCTTTGAAGGAAGAGACAAATAAGCACAACACTAATTTATTGCCATCATCCCTTACATATAACATTAAAGGAATGAGGTGGTTTTCAAACATTGTATCTTCAGGGAACTTGTCCACATCAATTTTCCTTATGGGAATTGGTGGAACACGTACTATGCTCAATTAGAGCTATGCTGGCCTGGCCTGCAGGAGTTCACTGTCAGCATCCTAGAACACATTCAGCTCATTCCTCTGGTTATGGGTTGCATGGAAGATGCATGAGCAAACTATCTTTCATGGGAACCTGTTGGTGACATTTTTAATGAAATACCATTATAAGCTTCTGAGGAACTCTTAAGTTCTCATTTATTTAGGCAGCCTAGGTTCTCACTTCTATATGGAAGATAGGACCCATATTAGTACTGTCTGAGTGCTAGTTATCTGAACATTCTAAAGGTGATTATTGGTCATGGATTTCAAAGAAGACATGTGATGAGATATGGCTGATTAGTTGGAAGAATCTGGGCTTGAACCAATATGAGATGCTTTGGTGAGGCATTTGGAGAAGAGTTCTTTAGACAGTTCCCAGTCTTTGTAGAACACTCATGAGTTAGTGACAATCAGCCAGAAAGACATCAGTAGCAGGAAGACTGGGTGTCTTGCAAGTCAGGAGCTGAGAAAGGTCTCTGAGACACTGTAAAGGGTGGGATACAAAAATCACTAACTAACTAACTAACTAAATAAATAAATAAGGGAGATTTCAGAAGTCTTCGGAGGAAAATTGAGGCCTGAATGTCACCTGGTAGCATTGGTCTGAAAACACAGCAGCATCTGAAGTGGAGTAATCTGAAGAATTCAGGAGAACACTGGTGAAGAGCCTTCTAGTTGGTAGCCTGATCCTGCCAGAATACTGACTGTATATCAAAACCTTGTTACTAAGCATGTGAATTACTTGGGATGAAGTTTGAAGGAGAAATGGCCTGATAAAAGGTTAGGGTTAGGAAGTAAAGATTCTATGGCCAGATCCTGAAAGTCTTTTAAAGAAAGAACAACAACAATTTAGTATTTTATATGCATTTTTTAATAAATATACTATAGTTTTAAGTTTAGTTTAGTCACAAAGTCATGTCTAACCCCATAGACACCATTCCTCCAAGCTCTCCTGTCTCCATCATCCTCTGGAGGCCACCCAAACGCACACCAACTGCCTCAGTGACCCCATCTAGCCACTTCAATCTCTGCTGCCCCCTGCTCCTTTTGCTGTCAATCGTTCCCAGCATTAGGGTCTTCTCCAGTGAGTCCTTTCTTCTCATTAGGTGACCAAAGTATTTGGGTTTCATCTTCAGTATCTGACCTTCTAAAGAACAGTCTTATAATGATATAATAAGAAACAATATAATAAATAACAGTTCCTATAAAGAACTAAAATATACTATACCTTTGTTTTAAAATATATTAACTCCCTCTCTGTGTGTGTGTGTTTTGTTTTACCCCTTTGCTCTGTTCTGTTAGCACAAAATGATTTAATAACTAAGATGGCTTGAGTTTCATGGCGGCAGCAGAACTGAGTGGTGGGATAACAATTTACCATAGTCCAGCTAAACTGCAGCTACATCCTACTGCATGAAATGGAACAAATTAGACATAGCTAACTAAAGTTCACAAAAAGCCATAGCACAGTAGAGATTAATGCTCATTCTCTGTTGCCTACTCATAGGGATGGAAAGTTTCTGTTCAGGGTTTCAGAAAACAGCTGCTACGGAGTATAAACTAGTTCCTTCAACCTTACTCCCCAAGATGGTTTGGCCTATTACTTTTATCATCTCAGTCAGATTATCTTATCAGCAACTTGGTGGGTGTGATGGAAGCTGTAGGTCAAAATCTCTTGAGGGACTCAGGATCAGTGGTTTAACTTAGTAGAAGCAGCTTCCCATGTTTCTAGGGAAAGTGAAATATTTCCATAGCCAGTTTTGGCTGGTATAAGGATCAATTAATATTATTTATTTATTTATTTAAAACATTTGTATACTGCCCAATTGTACCACAGTAACTCTGGACAGCTCACATTCACAAGATAAAAACACAATACAAACCAATTGCATCATATTAAAAATAGAATATCTATAAAATACAGACAAAAATGCAAAAACAGTCTTAAACTGTTACTGCTTTATACAAAACAAAGTATAACATTAATATCTTCCAAATGACATCACATTTACTATTGATCCACAGGTGTTTTACATTATACTCCAGTTCTTCAGTCCACAACCTGAAGCAGTGCGAATACAGAGGAAAAAGCAACAGGACTTGGAATGGGAAGATTGGCAGTACTTTGCAAAGGACTGCAGTGTATTTGGAATGAAAAATGATGGAATATTGGAATATCCGGACTCAGTCAACTGCCTCCAGCTTCCCAGGTATGAATAAATAGGAACCTCCCCAAAACTCTAAGAATCCTGGCCATGGATGAAATGGGCTCCTATAGAATGATGTGATGCACATAACATACATATGTAACAAAACCTTGAAGCTTGTATAAATAGACATAATCCTAAAGCTCACATGAGGTCACTCAGGCCATACAGGCTGAGACTTCTCACAGTAAGATTTGTTGAGGAACTAAGCGCAAAACAGGGTAAGAGCTATAGCTATAAATTACAATGAGGGAATACTTCAGACTTCAGGAGGGCCATTTACACTGTCTGACCAAGGCATGGATTTTACTTGAACTTCAGAGTCCCACCTTGACCACAAATGGACTCAGTCACTATCTCTAAGCCTCATAATCCACCTGGGTTTTCAGTGGCAAGTATCCCACAGATATGATTGAATGTTTTGAATTAGGCTGTATGCTGTTTGGTAAAACACTTTGTCTAGTAACACACACACACACGCGCGCGCGCGCGCGCGGAGCTGAATGTCCTTTGCTGAGCAGACAAGTGCAGGCAGGGTTGGGAAGGACTTCTATATTATTAAATTCATGGGGGACTTGATTCTCAGGGGCTTCTAAAAATGAAGTGCTTTGGTGGACAACCCTCACAAAAATGGGGCAGAAAAAACACATTGGTTTCATATTTATTGGATGAATCTACACAAAATCTAGGTAGGCTGGCTCAATGCCTGGAGTTACTGATCCATGCAAAGGTTTCTCTTTTTTCAGTGCCTGATACTTTGAAACTTCTGAATGTAGAGCACACTGAAGAAGAGACAAGTTCTCCATTGACCCACAGAGATATCATTGTATTTACTGTTCAGAAGGTGTCTTGTTCTTACAAGAGGCTTATTGTTCATAATGCCAGCCTCCCTCCCTGCCTTTGCTTTGCTAAAGTCTGCCTTCAGCCATAAATGTCTGATTGCACCAATGCCTGGCAGAATTCAGGACATAGTCAGCATCAGACCTTTGCAGCAATTGTCTGAAAAGCCATCAGGGAACATTCCACCAGGTGCAACGGCTGTTTGTTTTGCCATATTTATTTATTTATTTACGCTGTTTCAATCTTGGCAGCTAGGCTTTTAAAGTGTCAGCATCTTTCTTTGTGCTTTCACAATTCAAAATTCCTAGGGAGAAACAAGAGGTCATTGAGGGTACGTTCGTTTTTAGCAAAACATCATTTGCACTGTTACCATTCAGTGGGAGTGGAAGGGAACATTGAATTGCCAAATTCATTGGCTCAGTGAAGCGTAATATTTTGGTAAAGAATCAGTTCGGTATCTGTTCTTAAAACAGCTGCAACAATATACCAACATAAAAATTAGTGCATCTTTTAAAGGGGGATTCAAGAGCTAATGTGTGAAATGCTGCCATAAATGTTTTATAATGGAACATTGTTTTCCCTTCAATTACATGACATAAATGATAATAGGAAGTGATTCAAGTGAACGATGTTGTGTAGGGAAGATGTACTGTAAATCTAATTTAAAAATACCCTCTAAAGACTTATGTATATTCATTGTACCACAGGAATCATTAGGTGGTAGTAGCTACCCTACTTTAATTTTAAAGAAGAAATTAACAGAACGCATTACTTGCTCTTCTAAAGACCTAAATCAAACTTACTGAGCAGAGAGACATTTTGGCAAATGTACTGCTTTGAGCACTGATCATGCAAAGCTCATTGGACTTTTTCAGTGATGCTGCATTGACTGTAGCCAATAGCTATTTATAACAGTGCATCTGTTTGTGGGTTATCACACAAGGCCAACACATAGAAAAGGACAAACTTAAAGCAGAGAATTATGACATAAAGCATGAAGACACTATAATGTGGTTTCCATCCATTCTGAACTAGGGATGGATGGATCAGTCAATCTCAGCCTCAGCAAGACTGTAAGGTTTTTGAAGCGAAGCTCATTGCATCCCATTTCTTCACGACTGCGGTTGCTCTTTTCAAGTGTATATGGCTATCCATGCTACTTTTCTGTGCATTCCCCCCTCCCCACCATGTACACATCATGCACACATGCTCAAGTGTTTACATTTATTATGCATATTTTCTGTGTGATTTTTCCAATATACTAGATTGAAATCAAGCATACAGCTGTGCATTTTACAGGTGCCAACCTCTCAAGCTCAACTACACTTTGCTGAAATGACATATGGTGTCAAATGAAAAGGGGTAGCAATTGGAGTGGGTAGGGACATGTGCTAGAGCTGGAGGACTTAGAGGTCAACCCACAATAAGTCCACTCATTTATTCAGTGTACTGTGGGTTGTTTAGTGAAGAATCAACCCACCATGGGTGGTTTATCCAGGTGACATGTGGACCCACCCACTTAAATAGATCCTCTGCAATATTTTTCATAGATTTTTCCTGTCTTTGGAAAGCTTAGACAGAAGTTAGTACCTCTTCAGTTTCACATTCCTTCTTTCTTTGCAGTTACCAAAGCTGTAAAGAAAAATGTATTTACAAACCTGTAGGTCAGAGTTTGGTACAGATTGCTTTGAGATTCAGATACTTGAGATTCAGAAAAATAGAACTATAATTTTATGTTGCTTCCCCAAAACCTTATTTTTTTAGTGCTTCTGGATTTAACCAGATAACTTTTTTTTTGGTAAAAGTTATATTTGGGCAATTTTATAACACTTACAAATATAGGATGCTCTGTGCATTTGTAACAGCATTCTGTGAAACAGGTACTTCATTAGCTACTTTCTTTTAACAGCATTACTCCATATTCCCGTGGAAACATTACTTTCAGTATTCTCACTCCAGAACCAAATCATCGGCCAGGATACAATGATTTCTATAATACTCCCACCCTACAAGAATTCGTCCAAGCCTCAGAAGTAAAGATCCATCTATTTGGCCAGTATCATACAACTGCATCTTGGGTTAACCCTGGACACAGATATTATGGAGTTAATGAAATTACTATCAGTGGGAGGTAGGTAACTTATTTTTATTTGTTATTTATTAGATTTATATCCAGCTGCTTTTCTTACAAAGAACTCAAAGTGGCTCACAGCATTTGCCTCCTGTTGCTCTCAATTTTATTTATTTATTTATTTGGAATGTTTGTATGCCGTCCCATTCGCATAAGCCTCGGGACGGCTTCCAACAACCCTGTGAGGTAGGTTGGGCTGAGAGTCTAGGACTGGCCCAAAGATGGCCCAGGAGGCCTCTTCTGACTCGCTATGTTTTTACATATCTAGCTGGCTCTATGAGTGAGTGAGAACCAGATCCCAACTGCCTGAGTCTCAGGCCCATGCGCTTAATCACTACACCTTACCGCTCATTGTGCTTTTTCTAAATAAAAAATGAAGACTCACGGTAAACTATTGACTGTAGCTTTACATTCATGTAAATGAGAAAGAAAATGCATTGATCGTAGATCCAAACTTGTCTTTTGCCCCATTGGAAATAAATATCTATTTTTTTGCATAAATCATTCTTCTACACAATTTTATCTGTCAATAATGCTTTTACACTTGGAGTTTACTAACTACTATGGACAGGTATGTATGATTGAAAGCATGATTAAAGCTTTGCTTTAGTGGTGCTTCCAATTTGTATTATGGGCTTCATATATGGCAGTTATAATGGTCTTAATAATGAACTAACTCTTTGTCTTAGCTAGTTTTTCTGTTTAAAAATAGGGCTTCTGTCAGCAAAAGTGTTGCATTATCTTTGACTGACAACTTTATTGTGTATGTTAAGTCAGAAGTCTTGTTGAAGGCATAATTACACCCTGTAAATAAAATGCAAATTAATTAATGATTGAGTCCTAGTGAATGATGTGCTATTATTTTTTAACTTAGGAACATATGTTTTAAAAGAATATGTATTAAGGTAGCTTTGCTTAGTGAGCAAAATCTATTTGTTGTTGTTAGTTGGAGTGGCTATATCATTTTGTTGTTTTTTTTTAATATCGCATCTTCCCTATTGTCCATGACCTGGATATTTGAAGAAGGCAGGGTACAAATCTTTTAAACAGATACTTCAATATATATTTGTGTCGACATACAATTAATATGGCAGTCTGAATTATCTTGTGTATAGTTGACATATAGTTGTACCAATAGAAATACAACACTGGAAGTTGAAGTCCAACACCTACTAAAGTGTTGGATACCTACTTTTAGAAAGTAGGATACCTACTTTCTGTCTTACCCTGTTCTAGTCAGAATCTCAGCATTCTGTGTGGGTGGATAAACTGCACAGAACTCTGCCATGGTTAAGAAATTCCATTTCCGAAAGAACTCATTTGCTCTGTTCATAATTTTTGGATTTCATTTAAATCCTTCTGTTCTGTCAGGTTTTTTGGCATGGTCACAAGACTGATACTTGTTTTTAAGGGAAATACACTTATGAAGCTGCCCTTAGAATTTTAACTGCTTTCTACATATGATGTATTGATTGTTTTGTTTTTATGATATTTTAAAATGTTGTTCTAGTTATTTCCATGAGAAGAAAAATGATATATGTGTTTATTTTGTTTGTTGTATACTGCTTTGTTCACAGTTCTGGAAAGGCAGGGCATAAATACAAACAAAAGGAACAAACAGTGATTAATGCAGAAATAATTAATGCATAAGTAAATAAACAAATGTGAGTATTCTGTCTTTAAGTTGTGGAGTTCGAGGTGGAAAGGTTACTGCTGACAACACAGGTGTTAACTGTAATTAATAATTAGGGCCTTAAATCTGCATAGCATGTGATCAAAAAACACAATCCATATTTAATCATGTAATGGGTTACAACATATCCAGTCAATTTGCTATGTCAGAAATTAGTGCTTAGTTGACATTTATAAATGCTGAGATGAGAATATCATGAAATGGTTACTATACTTGAAAGATCTTTTCTGATATGGTTATCCTGATATGCAATTACAC